GTAAACAATAAATAAAATATAAAAGGCTTACAGGGGAAAAAAGCGTGCACAGTTCCTTTTCCCTCTTGCACACATCAGTGCTGACCATCTGAGTACAGCAGGTAGGCGTTAATTCCGACTGGCTGCACAATCAATGATGGTAAATGGAGGCAGCAGGAGGGACAGACAGTGATCTGCTGCTTTCATTTCCCTCCCATATCTCTTTCTCTTCCTCCCTCCATTAAAACACAACCGTACCATGTCCTGTTTCACTATAGGAAAGCTCACTTAATGAGGCACAATCTCAGTTTGCAGTGCACTCATGCAGTTTTCTCCCTTTCAGGCTCCTCGCTTTACACCGTCAGTGCCAGGTAGCTTTACTGTCCAGCCTGTACCATACACATTTCTCTCTTTCTAAGGCCAAACCTGACTGTTTTGTTCTTTTGTAACTTAATTAAAGCTGGATTTCTCTCTCTCTCTTTTTTTTTTTTACCTAATGGCATTTCATCCTTCACAGTGCAAAAGGTACAGTGCAATATTTACCTACTGTTATTATTATTGCTACTTAGTTTAAAGACGGCTAACATGGAGCAGAAATTTCTTTATTCATATAAATTCTGGTAGCAAACCGAGAAACCCAGAATCTGAAAACCAGATTTGCTTGTAAAACATTTCTCTTAAAACATGGATTGGAGATCTTTGCACAGCACATTTTATGGCTCAAAACAGTTCAGGTGAGGCTGGAGGTGAAAGTAATGAAAGGTATAGGACAGAAAGCCTCACGGGTCCCCTGAGGATTAAGTGAAAAGGTTGCTACACCCAAAGGACCCTTTCTGATTGAAACTAGTTTGAATTTTTAATCACAGTAAATAGCTAAATAGCTTCAAGTTCAGTCAGTAACAACAAGAACACAGAAACCAAAACAACATGGGCTCCATGGTAACACCTGGGTAGTGCTGTCACCATCGCCTGATGATTTTTGAACAGGATTCTCCAAACACAGTGTTTACCTGGATATTTCATTTCTAAACACCAACCTGAACCTACAAGCATCTCTCGCTATTTGCTGTGACTCGACGAACGCTTTGGAAAAATATCGACAGCTAAACAAGTGTAACAGCGACTCTTCAGTGTTTCCTGAGCCCAAATGGACCCAACATTTGTCTCAGAAAATCTGGTAAGCTTTTCTCGTGTGAGCAAGCAAAAGCATTTTTTGAATTTTTTGCTCAAAATGTGTCTAAAGCTTTCATAATCTTCAGGAAGCAGAGTACACTTTGGAGTTTAACTTTCATTTGTAATACTTAAACATCTGTAAGCACTTTTAACAAAACTCTGTGAACATTTGTGTTTTTATAACATCTGTAGGACTCAGTTTTTGCTTTTTCTTGTGTCACCTTAAACTTTTCTAATGACACACATCACACTGTGTGATTGATTTTTCTAACTATGGACTACGTGCATGTTTTTATCATTCAGGCATCTTGGCCAGTGCAGACTAGCGCTGCTGATATGAAACAGCAGCAGGAAGCTAACAAGATTGCTGAAAGTGAAACGGTGCAAGAATTAAAAGATGCACTCCACTTTGCCACTCAGGAGTTGAAGACTGCAAAGGAGGAAAATGCATCTTTGAAGGAGAAGATTGCCGTCCTTGAAGATGCTCACAAAATGCAAGTGAGTAGCCTCCAAGAAGAGCTCAAACTCAAGGATGAGGCGCTTCAAAGATGTGTGAAGAAAAGAAGAGCTCGAACCAAAGC